GCCAAGAATTTTCATTTCGGTGCATCCCTATTTATATTGTATTTATTTACAGAGGTAAATTATGTCACACTTCTCTAGTAAGTTCCGTGACGTCTGTGTGTGAAGACAGTAGCGCAAATCCGTGAATGTTCCAAAGTGAAATAAACTTCAACGGAATAAAGTTGAATGGAATTGAATTGAATTAAAGTTGCATAAACTTCAACTTTACTGTTCAGTGCACTGATGTCAGACTCATTTTGAATAAAATGTATTGTTAAATTGTTAAATGCCCTGCCTCCATCTTCACATATCTTTGTCACATCATTATAAGTGTTTGATTACCACATTTGAGTGATCATTGCAAAAAATGTGTTTATGTATATATATTCTGTTTATGTATATACTGTATTCTATATATAATACCAGTCAAATGTTTGGACACACAAATGGGAAAGTGTCCAAACATTTGACTGGTACTGTACTATAATATACACAAAGAATATCGGCCGATATATCGAAATCTGACTTTTTTTAACTCCCAAATACCGGTATCGGTCCCAAAAAACCCATATCGGTCGGGCTCTAATTATTACTATTACTTTTTTTTATTATTAATTTATTAATTAATTTAATTATTTATTTATGCTTTCAAATTCTTTTGACATTAAAATATTAGACAGAAAATGTACCCTTCTGTAAATTCAAATTTCAGAAAGATTACTGTTATCAAAAATAGCACAAATGTTTTTATTTGTCGTCAATTTGACCCCCAGTAAAACCTAGTTGAAAAACACAAACAGACAAACAAATAAATAAATGTGTAAAAACACCAAACAAGAAATGTTACAAATTGTTGTTTATTTCCACAATAAAACGAATGCAATGGGGTTTTTTTTTCACGGATGACCTGTGATGAATGTTATCAAGTTACTCCCCTACACACCTGTCAACTAGTTAACATTTTTAAGTGGAAACTATGTAGGGTAACTATACTTACCATTTGAAAGGTTTACAATCTTAAAGGTTTCGCTTTATATGTAACCATATGAAGGGAACAGCACAGACTTTACACAATAATAATCTTAATAATTAACCTACGTATCATATCTCCAGATATGGCTAATGAGCAGATCATAACTAGTAAGAGTTCCTTCACTCACATTTGCTTAACAAAATCAGTCATAAATAGCTGATTCATAATCAACGACACTGTATTATATTTATATTCACGCGGTTGAATACGCAGCTGGCTTTGTAGCGGCACGAGGCCACTGGTTCCCACCTTTCCCTATTTCTAAACACCCAAATCCATCTCTAAACAGATGTGTGATGTAAAACATAGCGAAACTAAACGTTAAACGGTTTAAAATGAGCTGCGTTACCTCGGATTCTCGTGTAGACCGTCTCAGTGTTCGAGGTTCGTCTTCAGCTGCTCTCTCCTCCCATCAGACTCCATGGAGGCTTTGTACTGAAACACTCCAAAAACACACGAGCACACGGTTCTGTGCAGTTTCCCGTCCCGCCGATGAGAGAATACGGCAGGTGGACGGTGGTTCGCTCGTCCTCTGTCAGAGACGGAAGCAAAGGAGGCCGAACAAGCTGCGCTTCCTCCTCGACTCACGCCGGGCTGGCAGTCTGCGGCGCCACGCATGCGCAGTCACACACGCCCTGCTAACCACACCATGCCTGATCATATCAAACGGTCTCCGTTATAACAAACACACACATGCTGCTTGTTATTTAATGGTGTCGACTTTACATTGACTTACTTAATTTTTATTGTGTTTACCACAATGAAGGGTGTTTTATATTTTGAAATTATATAATATGGCATTACTATTAATAATATATAATATAATTACATAATATTACATTTAATAATAGGCTACTTTTATTTATTTTTTTATTTACATATTTGCATGTACTTTAAATTCCCTTAAAGTATTATACTTTTTTATTAATTTCATTTTTAAAAATGAACATATGCTACAATATAGTTTTTATATTTAGTTAATGATATCTCCTGACCCAATGTGATCTTCACAAAAACCTTTTGCAGTTTTAGTTTTTCATTAAGTCAGTATTTTAAATTTATTTTAATAATTATTATAAGGCTATTTTCTATTTATTTGTATCAAATATTTGCACATAGTATTTTATATTCCCTTATATTATTATGTTTTTTTATTCATGTAAATTATTTTTCTACATTTATGCACTTTTATCCAAAGCGACTTGCATTACATTCAAAGTATACATTTGATCAGTTCATGCATTCCTTAGGAATCAAACCATGACCTTGGTGTTGCTAGCGCCACACTCTAATGTTTGAGCTGCAATCTAAAACATAGAAAATCACCGTAATATCTAACCTCCTCCTTAAATTGGGAGCTTGCAGGACATTTTTTTACACAGATTTCCCACAAATTCAGTGCAGAAAATGTGAAAAAGGCTGGACCTTAATAATCACCATAAAACACTCTGCCCAACCACTTCACTCTGCCTAATCACCAGCAATAAAATGGCATAATAAAATAAAATAGTCAATAATAACACAACTTTCAGTAGTGCATAGAAGGGCATAAGGAAGTAGCCATTTGACTGGTGCAAAAAAAAAGTGCATTCACTGTTTGGTTGGACACCCACATCTGCTGTGATGGTGTTTTCCTAACACTTTTGTTTTCTCCTACTCACCCCTTCATGTGAAGGGACCGCAGCGTGTGCTCGTGTCTGTGAAAAGATTACAGTGCCTCCGAGTGGCCTGGTGATGACACTGTAAAATGTCACTGATGTTAACATTTTACAGTTTCAGTTCGAGGCATCCTGGGCTCTTTTGGATCGTACATTTTAAAGGAATAGTTCACCCAAAAATGAAAATCTGATGAAAATGTACTCACGCTCAGGCCATCAAAGATGAAGATGAGTTTGTTTCTTCAAGGGAACAAATCCATCAAGGCGTTTTAACTTTAAAACTATAGCCAAAATACCAGTCCATAATCCATAATAACGTTTCCTACAGTGAAAAAGTCCATCCACTCTTGTCCTCTCACATCAAAATCCACCAACATATTTGTTTAGAACTGTTTTTGCTTGTAAGCAGTGCCTTGATCTGTGCATAATTTCTTTCCTGATTGATACAATATGACTTTTTCACTGGAGAAAGCAATATTACAGATAGAGGACTTGTATTTTATTTGGAAGCAACGGTTTGAAGTTAAAAACATCCTATTGATGGACTGTTTCTTACAAACATGCAGCTTTCTTCTTCATGAGATGCTAATTGATGGACTGGAGTCGTGTGGATTATTGTGATGTTTTTATCAGCTGATTGGAGTAATTGGTGTGCACCTGCCCAACCTTCAGGACTTGTACAACTCCAGAGTAAAGAAACGAGCAGGCAACATGATCACAGACCACTCTCACCTCCCCTCCACAACCTGTTTGCACTTCTCCCCTTTGGCAGACGCAACAGATCTCTGTGCACTAAAACATCTAGGCATAAAAACTGATTTTTTCCCCCATGCCATCTCCATCTTAAACAGCTAACACAGAAATGATTACCTGTTTTCTGTAATTCCTTTTTCCATTTCCAGCAATTGCCTGTCTTTCAAGTATTATGTAAATACATATGCATATTTTATTTATACAACTTTACAGTAAATAATGTACAAATCTGTACCAGATTTTACCACATTATTAATATTATTATTATCAGTCTTACTTATTTAATTATTCTTTCTGTTCTCATGTCATATATGTATGTATGTATGTACAGTGCCTTGCGAAAGTATTAATTCCCCTTCATTTTTTTTTTACATTTTGTTATGATGCTGCCTTATGATAAACGTCTTTAAATTACTTTTTTTCCACATCAATCTACACTCCATACACCATACTGACAAAGCGAAAACAGAATTGTCACAACTTCGTAAATGTATTAAAAATAAAAAAACTGAAATAAGTACATTGCATAAGTATTCACCTAATATATTTCACCTAAATATTTAGCTGAAGCACCTTAACAGCCTTAAGTCTTTTTTGGTTTGATGCGACAAGCTTTGCTCATCAGCATTTTGCAATTATCTGCCATTCTTCACCTCACCTGTTCACCTCTCAAGCTCTGTCAGGCTGGATGGGGGGCAGATGCACATTTTCAGGGCTTGGTTTTTGCTCTGATATGCATTATCAGCTGTTAGACCTTTTATTAAGATGTGTGTGCCTTTCCAAATCATACCCATTCAGTTGAATTTGCCACAGGTTAACTTCACTTGAAGTGTAGTAATATCTTCAAGCAAAATGAATGCCCCTGAGCTAAATTTCAACTGTTCCAGATATGAATACTTATGCAATGGAATCATTTTAGTTTTTTATTTTTAATAAATTTGCAAAGATGTTACAAACCTGTTTTTTTTTTGCTTTACCATTATGGTGTATGGGGTGTAGATTGTTGTGGGAAAAAAACTAATTTAAAGCAGTGCAACATAAGGCAGCAACAAAACAAAATGTGAAAAAAATGAAGGGGTATGAATACATTCGCACGGCACTGTATGTATGCATGTACCAAGTGCTCCTAAAAAACCACAACAAAATCCTTGTGTGTTTGCCCACACTTGGCGAATAAAGCTAATTCTGATTCTGATTCATTCTGACGGCACCCATTCACTGCAGAGGATCCATTGGTGAGCATGTGAAACAAACTCATCTACATCTTGGATGGCCTGAGAGTGAGTAAATGTTCAGAAAATGTATATACATTTTAGGCCATTAATTTATGGCCTATATCATCTTTGAACTTCTCCACCAGCATTTTGCCTTTTTGTGTCACTGACTTCCTCTCAGCACACTGGGCTGTGCTCACTTCCTCCTTCAGTCCCCTGTGTCACTGTATTTAGGGAGTTTTATTCATACCACTATTGACAATTTCCTGGACGCTCGCTCCTAAAAAACCACAACAAAATCCTTGTGTGTTTGCCCACACTTGGCGAATAAAGCTAATTCTGATTCTGATTCATTCTGACGGCACCCATTCACTGCAGAGGATCCATTGGTGAGCATGTGAAACAAACTCATCTACATCTTGGATGGCCTGAGAGTGAGTAAATGTTCAGAAAATGTATATACATTTTAGGCCATTAATTTATGGCCTATATCATCTTTGAACTTCTCCACCAGCATTTTGCCTTTTTGTGTCACTGACTTCCTCTCAGCACACTGGGCTGTGCTCACTTCCTCCTTCAGTCCCCTGTGTCACTGTATTTAGGGAGTTTTATTCATACCACTATTGACAATTTCCTGGACGCTCTTTTGTATAATGCACGGTGAGTTTATCTCTTATTTGCACTTGGTTCTCTGTCCCAAACTCTCCTTCCTATTAGCTTTTATTCTAGGCCAGATTTAATTTGCATCTCTGGTTTGATAATTTGTAAACTGATAAGAATGCATTGATGTCATTAGAGCAGCTACATCCTTTTTTTTTTATTCTGCTATAGTCAAATGGAGCTCTGTTGTGGTTTATATATCTGACCAAATAATAATATAAGTTAATATGTAATGGTATTTTACATTGTATATGTATTAAATATAATAAAGAAAGAAAACCTTTACTTTTCTACTAAAAAATACAGTGCAAGTTACAGTAAACTTTTTTTTTTTTTTTTTTAATTTGACATGCACCTAGTAATTACAAAACATGCATTCCTACTACTGGAATTTGCATTGTACGCCTTTTGATTGGAGCTTAAGATTTTTTACGCAAATACTTTCCTGGGCAATATGAATCATACTATAAGTGAATGGACTGTTGGCGGTTCGTGACCTCTAAAATAATAAGCTGTACAGCTTCAAGTTCTAGTTTCTTTAAAAAAAAGGAACCGTTTTTTTGTCAGCAAAGTCATGTTAGACCCCTAAACCTATAAACACTGTACTGATTTCACATTTCAAACTCAGATGTGCATAGAGTACATGTATGTATTTTTATTATACATATTAGGCCTTCAACAGATAAATCAACATGTAAAAAGAGTCGACAGCCTCTTCATTTGATTTTTCTAAGATGAGGAGAATGAACATCATATGTTATAATAAATATTGCAAGATTATTCTATTATTGCAGAGTTTCAGAAGATGTTAACAGCCACCCATGTGAGATGAATTACTTCCCTACCAGCTCTGTGCAACTGTTCTTCTCAGAAATATATAAATAAAGGTCACTGACAGCACAATGTTTTGTGGGCGTTAAGGGCAGTCATTTTTAGCTTAAATGCACGTCATAATCTGACATAAACATGACTTACTCAACCAGGACTTCTAGCATGAATATGTTAATTTATTGTGTTTAATCAGTATTGGCATTACTGTTTTTGTCTAATATTAAAGATTCAAGATTGATATATTAAGTATTTTGCATGTTGTTTCAAAAAGATAACTGTTTAAAATAACTGTTTTCTATTTTAATGTATTTAAAAGTGTAATTTAGTGATGCAAAGCTGAATTTTCAGCATCATCCAGTCTTCAATGTCACACCATCCTTCAGAAATCCTTCTAATATGCTGATGTGCTGCTCAAGAAGCATTACTTATTATTAGCAATGTTGAAAAAAGTTGCCCTGCTTCATATTTTTGTAGAAACTGTGATGCACTACCATTCAAAAGATATTAAAGGGGTCATCCGAAATGTAGATGGTCTGCTGGAGTTTTGCAGATTTTTTTCATCACGGTTTAAGTGTTAATTATGATGCTGTAGTATTTTGAATTATATTTTATGAGTAGCAAATTATTTTTATTAAAAGTAAATACTTTCTATAATTTCCCCTTTTAATATTAATAATTATTAGTATGATTCAAAATAATACAGCTTAATAATTAGCTCAACTAAAAAAAAAAAATGCTACATGCACTTTTACAAGTTGTTTGAACTGAAATGTGTGTTGGCAGTGTGTGTACACCACCACCCTACAATAATAAAAATCCACCCAGTGTTTTTTTTTTTTAAATCTACTAAAATCTTTACCCCTTTCTCAAATCGAACCGATCTCAGATGCCTGTCTGTGTGACGTCACACAGACAGGCCCCTCCCACGATAGTTTGATTGACAGTAGCGTTTCAGCACAGACTGGACTGGTGTCTTATGCCTTATGCTGGGTACACACTAAGGCTACGTCCACACGAAGCCAGAGCTTTCCGTATCCGATTTTTTTTTCCCCCTCGTCTCAAGAAATATCTGCATCCACACGAAACCACAAAACCGACACAAAACGATGTAGTATACATGCCATACCAGTATGTGGCGCTGTAATTCTGCCACAGAGATAACTAAAAACAGAGAAGAAGACATGGACTATGCGCATAAACCTTGCGCGCGGTATACAAACGAACATGGAACAATACATTAAGTAATCTGTGTTAATGTTAGTTAATAAAAAGACAATCGTTCAGTGTTTGTTCATGTTTTTGTTTCTGTTACGTGACGTAGCGGTGTCTGACTAGGGGCGAGACGTGGGCTGATGACGTCATCGTTTCAGAAAATATACGGATTCGCTGTCCACACGAAAACACAAGGGCGGCGTTTTCAGATTTATCCACTCTGGAACCCGGTTTCAAAAAATTTTGGTTTCACTCCCAAAACGCCGGATCCGTGTGGACGAAATACCTATATGATACAAAATTTATGCGTATACAGCTAAACGCGTCTCCGTGTGGACGGGGCCTAAAAGATTTTTAAAATCTTAATAAGATCTTCAAGATGTGAGAGTCCACAAACATGAGGACAAAAAATCCTAGATTTAACCATTTTGCATTTTGAGTATAAGTTTTTTAATGATTCTTTGCAAATCGCCTTTCTTAATAAAGTGCTAATTAGCAAGTTTCAAGATGAATGTGTCTAAAGTAAACAGTCCCTCAGAGAGTGGCTCAGAAGAGAGGGGCGGGGTCAGCAGAGCTCATTAACATTTAAAGGAAAATGCTACAAAACGGCGTGCTCTGAAAAGAGCTGTTTTTGACAGGGTAAAAAATGTGTTTTTTACACTACCATTGAGAAATTTTAACCAAACAATGTTACAGACTTTTCATTAAGACTATAAAGAATTATATCAACTTGTGGAAAATGGGCATCGGATGACCCCTTTAAAAAGATAAGAAATCTACACTTTTATTGAGCAAAAACACATGATTTGATCAAAAGTGACAAAAGACATTTATAATATTACAAACAAAATTAAATTTGAAATAAACCTTTATATTCATCAAAGAATCCAGGAAAAAAGTATCATGGTTTCCACAAAAAACAGCAAAAGCTGTTTTCAATATTGATAATGATAAGAACCATTATTAATAATTAAACACCAATAATAACTGGTAATATTTGAGCAGCAAATAAGCATATTACAATGATCTGAAGGATCATGTGACACTGAAGACTGGAGTAATGATGCTGAAAATTCAGCTTTGCATCACAGGAATTACATTTCAAAATATATTAAAATAGAAAGTGTAGAAAGAAATATTTTGCAATATTACTGTTTTACTGTATTTTTGATCAAATAAATGCAGCCTTGGTGAGCAGAAGAAACTTCTTAAAAAACATAATTATTCCAAACTTTTATTGTGTATCGAGCTAAACATCTCATGTACTGCATGCAAGTCATAGACAACATTTGGTCCTTGTGTATCTTTCAGTTATTGGAAGCTAAAGGGAGAACAACAATGCAGAACATCAAGTGTGTCGTGGTTGGAGATGGTGCCGTTGGGAAGACCTGCCTCCTGATTTCCTTCACCACCAACGCTTTTCCTAAAGAATACATCCCCACTGTTTTTGACAACTACAGCGCACAGCTGGCTGTAGACTCTAAAGTCGTCAGTCTGAACCTGTGGGACACCGCGGGACAGGAGGAGTACGACCGTCTACGGACCCTCTCCTACCCACAGACCAACGTCTTCATCATCTGCTTCTGCATCGCCAGCCCCTCGTCCTATGAGAACGTCAAGCTAAAGTGGTACCCCGAGGTGTCAGAACACTGTCCTAATGTTCCCATCCTGCTGGTGGGGACTAAAAAGGATCTGAGAGATGATCCAGAGGTGCTGAAGAAGCTCAAGGAGAAGAACCTGTCGGTGGTGTCTCAGCAGCAGGGGGTGGCACTGGCCCGACAAATCCAGGCCAGCAAGTACATGGAGTGTTCAGCGCTCAGCCAGGACGGGGTGAAGGAAGTGTTTACGGAAGCTGTTCACGCTTTCCTCAACCCCAAATCACAAGCCCCCAAGAAATCATGTGTGCTACTATAAATGGGATGGGACCTGAACAGATGTATTTTTATATGGGGTATTTGTTTTATCACATGTACAAATAAACCAAAATCTTTTAAATAAAATCTTAAAAAGTATAAATGATTTTACATTATATAACAAAATATCATACAAAGTGGTATTTATTTCAAAGAGAAATAAAACACTTTTAAAGAATATTAATATTCTAAAATGTAATATAAATAATGTTGGGTTTCAAATAATAAAAATAGAAATACACTGTTAACGTTCCAAATAATTAATTGGTTTGAGTAGGCCAAACTTAAACAAGATCAGATTTTTTTTTTTTTTTGGAGTTCACAAAACTGACACATCGTAAGTCATCAGAATTTTTTCATTGTTTCGAATTTAATGAACTTGTTTCTTTTAATTTTGAGGAACTTACATTTTTACTGAAACTGGGAAACTGGGCTGGGGATTTCTATTTCCCAGTATGCTTTGCCATGGCACTCAAAAGGGAGAGTAAATGCTAAAATTAATTTATATATTTTTTTTTTTTTTTTTTTTTTTTTTGCAAGATTGTTAAATGGGAGATTTCGTAGTGTTTAATGTTTTGAGTTTCTGTTATGTTTGTGACAAGTTGAGCAGGTAGCCTATATGTTAAATGTTAAATAGACCTACTCATTAAGCTATTGCTATGCTAATCAAAGTATTGTGTTACTTAGCATCTTAGCATTTAATGAATTAACTAGTTATAGTTTAAATTTCCACTACTAAAATATTTAAGTTGAGATTACATGATCATTTTTAGTTGAAGTGTAATCAAAATGTATGCGTTACAGTAGTTTACTCAAATATTTCAAGTTGCGAGCAATTAGCATGTATGAGCACAAAATAACAATCTGACAGTTCTTCTTATTTAAACTTTAACTAAACATTTTGATGTAACTGATTATCTCAAATTGTTTGAGTTGTGTTAACTTATGCAAAATAATGACAAAAAGTAGAGTATTTGGACACTTTCTGGGTCTCAAACCTTTCGGAACATGTTTATAATTGACGTGATGAGCAGTGTGAAAAATATTTTCTAAGTTGTAACTAAAATAAAGATCGTTGGGGTGCATTTTTCGAGAAAATACTGTTTCAGTTTTTCTACTTGTTTCTACTTGAAAATGTGTTACTTGCAGTTTCTTTGTAATTATTTGTGAAATTATCTAGCAATTTCAGGTTCTGGTTCTGAGAAAAGCTCTAGCATAATTTTTTTTTTTTTCAGAAGCTTGGTATTTTGTTGTATAACGAATTAACATTTTACAAGTCCAAATATGTTTTGGGGCCACTGTATATGTTCAATGCAATGAAAATAAATAAATAAATAAATATATATATATGACAGTTATATATATGTATGGTAATTAATGTAGTATGAACATACATTTAAAGACAAGAAAAAGTTATTTGAAAGATTTGGCGCAATAAATCTAAATATTTGATTCAGTGTTCTTTGTAGTCAGCAAATGTAAGCAAAGCTGTCACTGATTCAAACTACAGTATAACTATGAGTTTAATTCATGATATTCCAAATATTCTGCAGATATAAAGAATGATAAAAAGAGTCTGACTTTGCAGGTAAAGCAAAGCCTTGATTTCAATATGATGTTCATTGGCATATTTAATCTTGCTGCAGCAATTAGTATTAAATATCATGCACTGTTGAGCACAAGAAAGAAATTCTGTGCCACTTCTGTGTGAATCAGTTCACACAACCACTGTCACAGTATTAAAGGTTTTCTATAAAACTGCTGACTTTGTACTTTTCTGCACACGTTAATAAAAAGGAGGAACCATTTATGCAAATCTGTGCTTTTTACACACTTACCTCACGATTACAAAACATGAAACCCATTAGTTTCAGGTTCTTTTTTTTGGGGGGGATGAGTTTGTGGCTGCTTATGAAGCAATTTTCATGCTTTCATGTACTTTCTTTTGTGTTGAATTTCAAACCTCTTGTTAGTGAGAGCAGAAGAAACGAGAAACATTCACTTCCCTCGTCTAAATCCTCAGCTATTTCTGGCACAGTTTGCAGCAGTCTTGGTTTTGTTGTATGTCTGGAGTCACAAGAGAACATAACGACAGAATTAGTCACTTTTTAGCTGGAAAGATCAAATAAAACAAATCTCAGGGTTGCAAATAAAAATAAAAATTCTAGCTCTAAGAAAAGTTCTAGAAGAAATATTACTGTGAGTGGACCAGATCTGATCCCTCATCTCACAGAGTTACATGGTGTTGTATTTGCCTCAGTGTGATTTGAAAGTAAAATGAAGTAGACTAACATGAGACTGCTGCAGTTTTATTATCAGGCAAACACTGCTGTTCATTCACTTAAATCATGACCTCAAGCCATGGAATTTGACAGTGAAATCAGTGTTATGGCCTCTGGCAAACACAAAACAACACGCTTGTCTTTGTTTGGACCTTGTGCTGGCTTTCATTATGTTTGAACATTTTCTTTCCCATTAATTTAATTATACAAATATGATCTCCAATTTCCAAATACATCCAATTTGCAAATCTATTTACAAATACATCAATTTATTTGATCATGTAAAATATATATTTTCCCTTCTCACATAATGATCACATGATAATGAGATAATCTTCAATCTGATGTGGTAAGATGCAGTATGACTCTGCAGTTAAATCATGTGCTAATACTGCCAGCCTGTGGTCAAAGATTGAAAGCACCTCATTTAAACCTGCTAAACATGACAGAGAGCTGCTGGTTTTATTCAGGCCTGTCCCTAACAGTATTTGAAATCAAAATAATGGTGAAATTAGTGTACTGCTGTGAGGTCAGCTAATGGTCATCAATTTTTGTATGACAATTGCATTAAATATTTTATTAATCTATTGCCAGGGGTGTGAAGCTTTATCTATCTATCTATCTATCTATCTATCTATCCATCCATCCATCCATCTATCTATTGCCAGGGGTGTGAAGCTTTATTAATTTTTTTATTTATTTGCCAAATAATGACACTATTGTCTTCTTTAAAATATTTTTTGACAGCAAAAATATAAGTAATTTCATAATACAATTTTCAACACTTATTTTCCTGTTTATTTCTGTGAAGCTGCTTTTAAAGGGGTCATATGATGCGATTTCATTTTTTCCTTTCTCTTTAGAGTGTTACAAGCTCTTGGTGCATAAAGAAGATCTGTAAAGTTGCAAAGACTAAAGTCTCAAATCCAAAGAGATATTCTTTATAAAAGTTATTAAACCGCATAAACACATTTCATTACACCAACACCAAATACACAACATAATGTTCTTTTTAGCAGCATCATATGACACCTTTAAGACTCTTTTTCTTTTCTTCTTCTTCTTCTTCTGTTGTTATGATAACTAATTAAATCTAAGTAAGGTAAACTATTGGATTTTACACTTGCTGTTAATAAACAACCAGTGTGTACTCTAATCCTCTTTGTGAGTCTTCGTCCATAACATACAGTGGGTACGGAAAGTATTCAGACCCCCTTAAATTTTTCACTCTTTGTTATATTGCAGCCATTTGCTAAAATCATTTAAGTTAATTTTTTTTCCTCATTAATGTACACACAGCACCCCATATTGACAGAAAAACACAGAATTGTTCTACTAAATACTGAGCATTTTTCAGTTTTTCTTTTTTAATAAATTTGCAAAAATGTCAACAATTCTGTGTTTTTCTGTGAATATGGGGTGCTGTGTGTACATTAATGAGGAAAAAAAAATAACTTAAATGATTTTAGCAAATGGCTGCAATATAACAAAGAGTGAAAAATTTAAGGGGGTCTGAATACTTTCCGTACCCACTGTAGATACACTAATCTTAAAATTTTTTCGTTTACATCATCTTCAAAATCAGTATTTTGTTTGATAACAGCTTTGTCATCAGAGCCACCATTAAATGATACGATTTGATTATGAACTTGCTCTGCTATAAATCGCTAAGCCTTGTCAAGATTTGCTGATGATACTTGAGAATTCTTTTGTTTTCTGCTTCCGGTCACACTCATCACATAATTTATCTGACATCGGCCCCTTGAGAAAAAAAGGTGATATAATTTATTGAGACGTCAGATATTGCATATGCAGAATATATGCACATCTGATGATACTTTGCATTAACAGTGAGATGCACAGTCTTTTTTACAGATCTTGATGTGATCACCCCACAAATAAGCACCTCTCCCAAAGCAAATGTTGATGAGGGTGACAGGGTGCAGATCACATGTAAGGTGCAATTTAACTCAGATCTTGAGTTGTACCTCATCCAAGGCAACACCCTTCTTCATGAATCTTATACAACCTTCACACGCAGCCTCGTAGTGAGAGCTGAGGATTCAGGGGACTATGTGTGTAAAGCAGAGAAAGGCTTTGTGCAAAAGAAGGCTATCGGCTAAATGTTGCAGGTAACTAACCACCATTTAATAAGAGAAATATGCATCAGATTTCCACACAATTCAAATGTAAGTCACTCAGGTTGTACACATAACCATTTGTGTTTTTTTTTTACTTAACATTTTGACTAATCTTATATATAAACTTTCAGGGAAAAGTTCAAATCAACCATTTTTTTTTCTTAGTCTGAAGAACATTTAAACAATCTAATGATCCTTTTTCCACTATAAAGAATCTTTTGTGGAATGGAAAGATTCCATGGATGTTTAAGGTTCTTCATGAAACAATAGATGCCAATAAAGAACCTTTATTTTTAAGAGTGTATAGAATCAACACAAATTGATTTATTTCAATTGATATGGTGCGCTGCAAGAGCACATTTTCTTTTGTGCATGCTTCTCATTTTTCCTCCTCTCTTTTCCAGTTCCTGTTTCTGCCCCAGTCCTTCGTGCTGTTAATAAGGTGATTGTTGGTAAGCCATTCAGGGTTTCATGTGAGGCTGAAAATTGAACGTTTCCAATAAAATGCACCTTACTGAAGGCCAGTGTTCCAGTGGCTTACAGGACAGTGGTTGAGGCAGCTGACAGGGCGATCTTTAATATAACCTCCATCAGTTTTCCTGAAGAGATCTGCAGCTTCATATGTCAGGCTTCTAACCATGCACCATCGTTCAGTAAGACCAGTGAGCCCTTAAGAGCACCAGTCATAGGACCACATCCTGACAACTGAAACATGTGTTGCTGCTGTTTTTGAATTAATTTGGAAGTGCATGTTGCCATTTTTAGATGCTGATATATGCTTTAATTACTGATGGACCTTTGAGTCCAGTAGCATTTTTGATCACTAAAACTTGTCACATTCATTATATTCCTGTTCTGCACACCAAAAGCCTGCAAGATGAAATAAACACTGTTGTTTAGCTTAAGTTTCACTTTCAGGGAAAGTTTTTCAAGCCATTCAACGTTTGTCATGATACATTTTCGCAACATAGACTCATTGGAAAAAAAAAAGTGTCTCTAGTTACATTTTTGCAAAACTCCAAAAATGTACCTATGCCTACAATTCACTGGAGTTTGTCGCTGAAATTAATTACAGGGGCAGACTGTTGATTAATAAAGACTTATTTTCATGCAGCTCCTCAAAACACTTTTACCATAGTGCATGATTTGTAAACTAACACATAACCGGCTCCATATGGCTTTTCTGACATAGTAAATTGTACAGTGGTTATGTACCGTAAACATGTAATGTAATCATTATGCAATCGCTCAATCTGTGTTTCAGCCGCGCAAAGACGTCAATATAATGGCTTGTAAACAATGTCACGTAACGTCACATTTACCTCAGAAAAACATATTCAGTGACCATAAACTCATTAGTAAGCTAGTAAAATAAACTGTAGAGAGGGGCATTTTGCTAAATATATGCACCATATAACATATTCATTATAATTTTTACTGTTCTTCAATGTTTAATTTATGTTTGAATAAATCCAAGTTTTTGGATGGCTTTCAAGTTTTTGAAAGCCATCATTTAAATGTTTATATTTCAAAAAACTAATTGAAGTAGAGGTATTATTATGTAGCTAACTGTAACTTTATTATTTTAAAAACTTCATTAAGTTTAATTTTAGCAGTTGTATATTAGCCTACAAATCAGTCAATTTTAACCTTCAATATTAATGTACCAACTGACTCTCATGTATATTTTACAGCATTAGTTGAGAGATTTTTTTCCCTTGCGAAAATTTGGCATGTAATGTACCTGATATATATCCAAAATAATTGATATTGAATCGAATCGAATCCGTAATCGAATCGAATCGCAAGCTTGTGAATGACAATCGAATCGTGAAATTTGTGTCAAAACCCAGCCCTAGTACAAAATGTGTAAATAAAGCTCAGTAAAAACTTTACTAAAGCAATAAGCCCCAAGAAGCCGTGGTTTACAGTGAATGTATAAGAGCTAAGGGGCGTTGCTAGGCACGACGCGAAGCGGAGTTTTTATAAAACGGTTATTCCATATACGTAGTAAGGTTTCACAAAATAAAACAGAGCAAATAAAGTGTAATGATATTAATAAAAACATGATTCTTCCACAAAACAATGTAGTTCCTCAGAATCGGTTGTGGTTGCAACAAAGTGGTTGCCAAGCAACACACAAACGTAAACAAAGGTGTATGTTTGTAGAGTAATTTACAACAGCTTCGAACATGGCTCAGCCAATCAGAATCAATATCCGTTTTATAATTGCATTTTTACAACACTATGTTGTAAGTATGTCCCATTAGTTAATCAAAGACAGGCCTAAATGCAATGTGGTGATCTGATCACAAAACACTTTATAAAAGATTTACGCCTGTATTTAGGGCTGACCACTTGTGACCGGATCATGCAATGCATATTAATACCAGGTGGAAACAGGATTTAAAAGTGAATAAATTTTTTTTTTACCTCTTTTAAATCAAACATCTTAAACTAGACATGTTTTCTTCTCTCTGTGCTCTCTATAAAGATGCTTTCGTTTATCCTGCTATCCCGTTCCCTACATGCTATATTACGCTAAGTACACTGAACAAAATTATAAATGCAACACTTTTGTTTTTGCCCCCATTTATCATGAGCTGAACTCAAAGATCTAAGACTTTTTCTATGTACACAAAAGGCCTATTTCTCTCAAATATTGTTCACAAATCTGTCTAAATATGTGTTAGTGAGCACTTCTCCTTTGCTGAGATAATCCATCCACCTTCACAGGTGTGGCATATCTAGATGACGCTGTCTGCCATCTGCCCTGTACAGTGAAAACCGGGATTCATCCATGAAGAGAACACCTCTCCAAAGTGCCAGACGCCATTGAGCCCACTCAAGTCGGTTACGACGACGAACTGCAGTCAGGTCGAGACCTCGATGAGGACGACGAGCATGCTGATGAGCTTCCCTGAGACTGTTTCTGACAGTTTGTGCAGAAATTCTTTGGTTATGCAAACCGATTGTTGCAGTAGCTGTCCGGGTGGCTGGTCTCAGACGATCTTGGAGGTGAAGATGCTGGATGTGGAGGTCCTGGGCTGGTGTGGTTGCACGTGGTTTGCGGTTGTGAGGCCGGTTGGATGTACTGCCAAATTCTCTGAAATGCCTTTGGAGATGGCTTATGGTAGAGAAATGAACATTCATTTCACGGGCAACAGCTCTGGTGGACATTCCTGCAGTCAGCTTGCCAATTGCACGCTCCCTCAAAACTTGCATGTCTGTGGCATTGTGCTGTGTGATAAAACTGCACATTTTAGAGTGGCCTTTTATTGTGGCCAGCCTAAGGCACACCTGTGCAATAATCATGCTGTCTAATCAGCATCTTGATATGCCACACCTGTGAGGTGGATGGATTATCTCGGCAAAGGAGAAGTGCTCACTAACACAGATTTAGACAGATTTGTGAACAATATTTGAGAGAAATAGGCCTTTTGTGTACATAGAAAAAGTCTTAGATCTTTGAGTTCAGCTCATGAAAAATGGGGGCAAAAACAAAAGTGTTGCGTTTATAATTTTGTTCAGTGTATATTGATTTTTAAAATACAAAAAACACCAAGCTGCATGCTGGTGCAAACGCAGTCATTTATAAGGCATTTTAAAGAGGAAGTCGCATGACAAGAGGAAGGATGCATTTTATACACTGTTACTTGTGTGCTGTTTCTGCAGTTCGAAAAACTAAAGCTTCTGAGAACATTGTGGAGGGGTTGACTTGAGAAAACGGTAAGAAGCTCTCTCTCTCTTTAGTGCCATATCCATATGTTCTATAGCAGGCAATGCATAGTTTGTTTAGAAATGCTAAATGCTAAAGTAATGGTTTTTTCTTTTTTTTCTGTGCAGATTTGTGGAACACATTTAAAATGCAGATCATCTCAAGTTGTACAATCCTCTTTATTTTGAAATTAAATATGTTGTGTACAGGTATACATCTTATATTGTGATGTTTCTATTGTTTTACATTTAACTTAAAATATTTATATTAAATATGTTAAAAAGTAGATTCTATTAAAAATGCTTAAAAAGTGCTTGTTTTATTCAAGGCCAAGAAAACAATGACTGGAACATCACCTTCAATCCACCAGAAGTTACTGCAGTTGCAGGATTATGTGCTCTCATTTCATGTACCTTCACTTATCCAGATGAAGCAAAACCTATTAATGTTCTGTGGAATGAGTGTAATAAAAAAGGTAACTGCAAGAATGAAATATTCAACTTAAGAAATGTGAAAGAAGAAAGCGTGAAAGGGGGTAAAGTGGAAAAGAAAGAAATTAAATCAGGACGGATTGAGATGCTTGAACCTGATCTGACCAAAAACAACTGCAGCATCATCGTGAAAAACATAAGAGCAGAAGATAAAAAAGAATATATGCTCAGACTGGAGGAGTCTGGTCGAAACGCATATAACCTCAGAGACATTGAATGCATCCATCACTATCGATGTCATTCGTAAGTAGAACCAGATTCCATATGAAATGTTGATAACCTAACAATGTCACAGTCTTACAACATTACAAATTACGAAATGAAAATGTGTCGGCAATGGTTGGAATATTGAATTGTGACAAAAAGATCCTGAAAACATTTGGGAAATTCTCAATATATTTCTTTAGTAATTATAATGACACATTCATCACGTGCTAGGTGTTGCAAATGGATTGAAGATGAATCGATGAGACAACTGTTCTAGGATATTCTGTAAAGTATCGCTGTGATAAATAAAAATATCCATCACATACAAACTGAGTCCTTAAAGATTCAAATCAGTTTTACAGCTGATGCTTCTCTGATGAACAGACTCACAGAATTATAACACCAGGTTCATCACATTCTAGTTGAGACAAATGAAATGAAAATAAAAAAGATTGTCAGTCCTGAAGGTTAAAATATGCTGAAGCCACTGAATGTCACCAGAGAAACTACATGTAACACTGAGTGGTTATGTACCGTAAACATGTACCAAACACCATATGTGTTTATTTCAGTATATTTAGGGTGAGGGTTAAGTTTAGGCTTAGGGCTGGGAGTCGGGACTGGGGATTGAACAATATTCTTAAGAAACTATTATTTCCTTCTGATTTTACATTCAAGATAAAGCAGCTTTTCAAATGCATGTGGACATCAAAATGATAACAGCATGTTTGACAGGAATATCCATTTCAGCAGTCATCTTCTCTGTGGTTTTGTGCTGTCAAGAGTCTTGGAAAAGGTATCACCTACAATCCATAACTGAAATGCTCAAATGTGCAACACATTCAACAAAATGTATACATGTCTCACACTGCTCAAATGTGCTTTGTTTCATTGGGCTTTTAGTTGATGTGAAAGCATAACAACTATTGTCCACAAACACAGACAATCATTATTGTAATCTCTGACATTCAGTATAATTTACTCTATTTGCTTTGATTCTGTCTTATTGCCTGAATATCTTTTCCAGCAAAGACAAGATTGAAGTGGTGACCACAAACACAGACACTGAAGTTGTTCTGGAGGTTTTTCCAGGAGAAAATATGAGGACATATAGTATGAAAGAGTGAAATTAATCATTTGATTTTAAGGAACTCCTTATAAGCTATTTTTTAATTGTTGGATTTTGATTATTCTGAAATTGTAAAATATTATATATATATATATATATATATATTTTTTTTTTTCCAAGACATTCCTGAATTTTTCTTCTTGTTCAGATGTTCTTTTACAAATTCTTAAAAACATTAAAAATCTTACTGTTCAAAAACTTTTGACTGGTAGGTTATATAGATTACATTATTTTGAAATTGTAAAATATTATATATATATATATATATATATATTTTTTTTTTTCCAAGACATTCCTGAATTTTTCTTCTTGTTCAGATGTTCTTTTACAAATAAACAATGTGAATTAATTCAAAGTGTTCAAATTTCATCCTTTCTGTGTTTTAGAGGATGTTAGTAGGACTAAAGTGAATTTTAGACCACTCAGACGTACTGTACAGTCCATGCGCATGAGAAGCTGTGCAGAACATCGAAATGTATGGGTTTTCATTTGATAAATACGAGTAGTATATTAGGCACATTAGGTATAAGATTAAGATGAAGCTGAATGTGTGCATATTGTGAATGAATTTAATAAATGTGATAACTTGACATTCCTGGAAGCCTTTTAGTAAAATAAAGATTTTCAAATGCATTACTTTATAATAAATTGTAGTTAATTCTCAATTTTTTCTTTGTTCTTTATTCACCCTTTAAATTGTTTAATGAAAAGGACCATTACATTTCATTTGATGCTGATGACCAGTATCATGAGGTGAGTGGGTGGAGCTTCACTGCGTTCCACAGGGCATTTAGGACGGATGGCATTTTCACTACAAAGGGCCTGTCACCTGTCCCAATACCTGCACTAGTGGTCTTGGCCACTTGAGAGTGTGTGCACATGACAGGAAGCAAGTGCGCAAGACAGGTCTGAAAAATGGCAAAGCTCAGTGCCCTTAACTCACACTAAATCCACACGTGCCCTGAAATCACAAGAAGTCGAGGAAAACTTTGCAGTGCAAATAAATTTAATTAGATATTACATATAATTTGTGTAAAACAAAGTGTTGAACATTTCATTGGTACAGAGATGAGTGTATGTATTGTATAAAATGTTTACAACTGCTTTTTATCATTTATTTAAAAGCAACACAGTTAAACTGTCATAGGGACTACTGAACAGAAATTAAGAAATTAATTTTAAAGTGCAAAGAAATAAATGTACAAAATGTGAAAATAAAGCTCAGTAAAAACTTTACTAAAGCAATAAGCCCCAAGAAGCCGTGGTTTACAGTGAATTTATAAGAGCTAAGGGGCGTTGCTAGGCACGACGCGAAGCGGAGTTTTTATAAAACGGTTATTCCATATACGTAGTAAGTTTTCACAAAATAAAACAGAGCAAATAAAGTGTAATGATATAAAAACATTATTCTTCCGCCAAACAATGTAGTTCCTCAGAATCGGTTGTGGTTGCAACAAAGTGGTTGCCAAGCAACACACAAACGTAAACAAAGGTGTATGTTTGTAGAGTAATTTACAACAGCTTCGAACATGGCTCAGCCAATCAGAATCAAGGACCGGAACTATCCGTTTTATAATTGCATTTTTACAACACTATGTTGTATGTCCCATTAGTTAATCAAAGACAGGCCTAAATGCAATGTGGTGATCTGATCACAAAACACTTTATAAACGATTAAATATGTTGTGTACAGGTATACATCTTACATTGTGATGTTTCTATTGTTTTACATTTAACTTAAAATATTTATATTAAATATGTTAAAAAGTAGATTCTATTAAAAATGCTTAAAAAGTGCTTGTTTTATTCAAGGCCAAGAAAACAATGACTGGAACATCACCTTCAATCCACCAGAAGTTACTGCAGTTGCAGGATTATGTGCTCTCATTTCATGTACCTTCACTTATCCAGATGAAGCAAAACCTATTAATGTTCTGTGGAATGAGTGTAATAAAAAAGGTAACTGCAAGAATGAAATATTCAACTTAAGAAATGTGAAAGAAGAAAGCGTGAAAGGGGGTAAAGTGGAAAAGAAAGAAATTAAATCAGGACGGATTGAGATGCTTGAACCTGATCTGACCAAAAACAACTGCAGCATCATCGTGAAAAACATAAGAGCAGAAGATAAAAAAGAATATATGCTCAGACTGGAGGAGTCTGGTCGAAACGCATATAACCTCAGAGTTAAGATCACCATCCAAGGTAACGCTTACTTATGTTTGGCAATGTTAAACAGGTCCTGCGTTTTTGTCTAGTCTGATGTTCTCTTTCAGTTCTCTATTGTATTTCAGAGCTCACACTGCACACTTCTGATGTTTTAATGATTTCATAATGTCAAATGTTAGGACATAATTTCTTAAAGCAACTTTAACACATGGATGTGCTAGATTGTTATGAGCCGTTTTTTTTTCTCGTCTCAGTATTTAAGTTTCATGCAATTAATTTGTATAATATGAATCTGTACTCAAAGAATGACTCAATTAATTATTTAGACTTTGGTAAATGTTGGCAATGTATAACATTTGTTGTGTACCTCTACTTGCAGATGAGCCTAAAATGGAGGTTCCTCTTCTCAGTGAAGGACAGGAGGCCAATCTGACATGTTCAGCTCCTTTTCCTTGTCCTGAAACTCCTCCTGAAATAACATGGTGGATCAAGACAAGAGGGGAAAACATCACTGATCTAAAGGATAACATCATTCTGACCATCTCCAAAAGCCTTTACCTCTCAACGTTGACCTTAAGTCCAACCTCTGACCTCCACAATGCCACTGTAGCATGTGAAGTGAGCTACGGAAGCAAAAACATCAATACAAGTAGGACCCTCGAAGTCATGTGTGAGTTTACAAATTTACATTTTAACTACTAGAACTACTACTAGACCAATACATAAAGTAAAATTCAGAAATGCAGCAAAATGTTCAGTTTAGAAGACTTCCATCGTCTACTCTTCTGGGATATTCAAAAAGTAGAATTTAAAAGGATTTATTTCTTGCATACCAGTCAATATGGTGTCAAAACAATGAAATTCCTCGTTTTCAGATGTACAGACTTTTCAAATTCTGGGTAATGACAAAGTGACGGAAGGTGACACTCTCAGCCTGAGCTGCACTGTTGAGAGTCACCCACCATCATCTGATCCTGTATGGAGTTTCAGTGGAATCACAAATATATTCATGAACCAAACATCTACAAAATATCTCACAATTGCCAATGTGGGAAAGCAGCATGCTGGGGTTTACAGCTGTATGAGGACATATGGGAACAAGACATTGAATGCATCCATCACTATCGATGTCATTCGTAAGTAGAACCAGATTCCATATGAAATGTTGATAACCTAACAATGTCACAGTCTTACAACATTACAAATTACGAAATGAAAATGTGTAAATGTGTCGGCAACTGTTGAAATATTGAATTGCGACACACAGATCCTTCAAACATTTGGGAAGTTCATTGCGTCTTTGCAGAGTCAAAACATATGTCTTTACTAATTATAATATCAAATTCATCACATGCTAGGTGATACAAATGAATTGAAAGTGAACAAGTCCTTCAGTCCTGGAAGTGAAAACATGCCACTGAACAACACCACAAAAACTACAGGTAATATTGAGAATTTACATACTGCAGACAATGTATGTTTATTTCAGGGCAATTATGATTTTGCCAATTAGGACATTTTCCTTGTTTGACATCTTTACGGGTTCTAGAACAACATTGCTGTCAACCAATCAGATATTAGGAGCAGGTTTGGGAGATGGTTAAGTTTAGGACCAGGGCTGGACATTGAGGACTGAACAAAATTCTTATTAAACTATCACTTTTCTCTGATTTTAAAGGCAATTTATGGTTAGACATTGGGTTAAATGTTGTTCTAAGACAAAAGATTTCAGAAACATGTCCTACTTGGACAAATCTGATACTCCCATCTCTGAACAACAGGTATTTTCTATATACGTTTATAGATATTACTAACAATTCTGTGTAAATTCAAGGTATAGAAGATTTCATTAAGAATTTGAACGCCTCAACGATACTCACATTTGTGGTGGGAATGGTGTGTTCGGCGCTCATCTTCTCAATGGTTTTGTGTTGTTGGGTGTGTTGCCACAGGTAGGCCTATCATTTACTTCCTTCTTCTCCTAAACGGTGCATAAAACTTCATCAAACCACATTTGTCCTTATAGTTTATAGCGTTTATATGTTTGCTCCATGTCTCATCAGCTGAAAATCTTTTCTTAACAGAGGCAAACACAAAGTGCCAACTGCAAATCCGGACACCAAAGTCGATTTGGAGGTAAAACAGAATCAATAAGCATTATTGAATATGAATATATGAACCAATATGTGTATATAGTATAATATTTACATTTTGTAAAGTTTAACTATCGCTTTTAGTTTAACACACTCTCATACGGAAACATCTCACGCTGTTGTGTCAAAATGTCACTCTGGAGGATTGCATTACTTTAACCATCTTTTATGAAAGAAAAATTGTGTCATTGTTTACTCAAGCTAATATCATTCGTAACACGTTTGATTTTTTTTGTTTCTCAAAAGCCAGTGCCATAATAATAGTTGATATAAATTTATATTTTATGACGTCACACAAGATTTAACATCAATGATGGGGCTCACAATTATGTATATAATAGTAATTTAAATAAAGTAAAACATATGTGAATGACGCAAAACAGAGAATATTCAAAAATTACACTTGATAGAATCCTCTAATGACTTCTCCGCCATAAATGAATGTCAAAAGAATAAAGATATATTTTGTATGTATCAGATGGTGCAGACAGATGGAGCTCAGACTGGAACCAATGAGCAAACACCTCTTCGTGGACAGCTTAATGGAGGGAACCCAAACACGGCTGAACCGACAGACAGAGCAGAGGTAGACGAAGCAGTTGGGATGGAAGCAGGAGAGGTCGACTACGCCAGCATCGACTATTCCCTTCTAAAGGACAGAGCGCCTGAGGAGGGAAAGAGGGAACCTACAGACACAGACTA